ATAAAATAAATTTATTTATTTATTTAATTTTAAAAAATATATATGCTACTATTTTCACTTTCTAGATTAGATGATATTACGTATTTATAATGTGAAAAATTTATAGACTTTTTAAAATAAATTTATTTTTTATTTATTTAATTTAATTTTTTAAAAAGTCTATAAACTTCTCATAAATCATAAACTAATATCTATATATATAAAAATTTGAAGACAAACAAGTCTATATCTTTATTTAAAAATGGCATTAATTTTTTTAGTTTTAACGCATCATTTAAACTTTCAGACTTAAAAAATGTTTCTTTGTAGATGCAAGTAAAACTTTTTTTCTTTTTTCAGGTATATGCTGATCAGATAAAAAAAAAAATTCAAAATATTGTCACACATGGAACAAAAAAAAATAAACAAAAAAAAGAAATCCTGCACCAGCTGACTGGCTTGGTACAGGATAAAATAGACTTTTTATTTATTTATTTACCAATTTAAATTATTACTATGTAACTATTCCTATCTTTTTTTAATTAAGTTTCTGTTATTACAATTAAATATTATTTATGTGAATGAGTGTCCCCCCCCCGCACACGCACACACACACACACTTCCTACGTTAATTTGCCATACAAATTTCTATCAATAAAAAATGTGTCACTTTTAATAAATTTAATTACCCACACTACATCTTCAGTAATATTGTCATTTAAACTTTTCAAAACAAGTACCCTTTCTCTCTTCATGCAACTCAGGCTTTTAATTTCACTGTCCAGTTTGGGGTTGTTCCTTATGCTCCATATATAAGTAAATAAAATTAAATAATTTAAAAAAAAAACAATGACTTTCTTTGGTTCTGAAGAAATTCGTTTCCCTGTCGTTTCGGAGGAAGGACAAGTGGACGTTGTCCAGTTTCTACAAGCAAGTCGACAAGTCGTCAAATTTATTGGTAAGTTAAGTATTTTTATTTTTATTTATTTAACTTTAACTTTGATCGGTGAGCTAATTAAAAATTACTCCACAATTTCTTTTTATATTGTCGCATATTTGGATTCTAGTAATCAAACTGAAAACAAAATATTAAAAAAAAAATAAATAAATAAAAAAGTTTAAGTAATTTTTTTTTAATCTCCCTCATTTTTTTCTAATTGACCAATTTTTTTAGATTGACCATCAAGAGAACTGGATTTATGCGTCTCAAAAGCTTATGCAACTTCCAAATCTGACATCAAGATTTTAGTTTTTAGTTTTTTTTATTGACTTGTATTTTTAAAGGAATTTTAAACAATTGTTTTGTTTGAATCATGACCCAAGTATTCATTGTTGCATAACACAAATAATTTTTTTAGAATTAAATTTTTTTTTTATTTTAACAATACTTTTTTAAATAAATATTTTTTCATGAGGCAGAATGCAATTCTTTTTATTTTTTTTTTACCATTATTAGTTTTACACTAGATTTATTTTGTTTAGAAATTTTGTAATTTTTTGCATTTTTTTTAATTATATTTTTAATTTTTCATTGATTTATTTTCTCTTTATTTCTGTTAGCCATCAAGTAATTTATTTTAATTTTAGAAGTGTATTACGTAACCCGGATATAAGAGAAACCCGAATATAAGAGAGATTTTCTCTGGTCCCAAATTAGAGCCTGTGTTAATGTATATAAATTAGACCAAACCCGGATATAAAGGCGATATAGAGACTTCTTTCTCGGTTGACAAACTCTTATATCCGGGTTACACTGTATTACAAAAAATAAAAACAATGTTTTCTTTCCATCCATGAATTTTCGCGCGTGTGGTGGCATTTTATTTATAATTTTCCCTTAAAATTACATTTTTTTTTTTTTTTTTTTTTTTTGAGGCAGTAAACAGTAAACTTTTAAAAAGTTCCATTATTATTCGTACACAGTTTTTTTTTATATTTTTTTCTTAAAATAAATTCTTAGAATTTAAAAAATGGTTTCTAGAATGATGTCTTTACATTTTTTTTTTACTATATTCAATTGTAGTGCTTTTTTTATTATTTTTTTCCTTTTATATTTATTTATTTATTTATTTTTGCAATATGAGGTTTATTAAATACTCAAGTCACCCCCTCCTCTCCCCTTTAGGCTTTTTTACCCAACCCTTGCATTGTGATTAATACTCAGGTCGTAAGCTTATCTTACCTGGATCAGGTGACAATGGTATATACTAGCAATTGCTCCAGTGGCAATGTTTTCTTTTTTATCAGATGCACTTTTCAGAGAAAATAAAATCCTAGTTTACTCACGCGAAGGGTTGTCAGTTACCAGCTAAACAGGATCTTCTTGTTCAAATTAAATTCAAATAGTCCTTTATTGTCCTTTATTTAATAAATTTATTTTTTTATAAAATTTATAAACTTTCAAACTAAATCATTTTATTTAATTTAATTTCGTACGGGATGTCCTATTTCGTTGCTTTTTTTTTTTTTTTTTTGCCTACCCGCGACAAATCTGATCTACCCGGCGGTGGATGGAATTTTGCTTTTTATTTTTTTATATAATATTTCCAGGAGCAGTCGTAATCCTCTGTGTACGTGGCATAAAAATAATAAATGAAAGTGAAATGTTCACACGGCTTATTAAATAAAATAACTTGAAGTGAAGAGCGGCCATTTTTTGCTATTATTATTTTTCCTATATTTCCAATTTTTTTTTCTCATAAAAAAAAATAAAGGGTCTGGTAAAATTAAAATCGTAGACTTAGTGGTAAATATAACTTATTTTAAGTTTTAAAAAAAAAAAAATCCATGTTAATCTAAAATACCTAAGGCTGAATCTTAATTGGGGGTCGGAATTTATCCCTCTGCAATAAGCGGGGCGGGGAAATATATTCACGCTTTCTAACTCAGAAAATTATTTAATTTTAATATTTAAAGGTTCAAAAATTTAGATTTATCAAAAAATGAAACGTGGTAATTCTGGAAAAAAAATAGAACACTATGTTTTTTTGTTTTTTTAAAAATGCACTTAAAAACGTTGAAGTAAAAAAAAAAAAAACTTGGATAAGCTATAATTGCTGTTTTCTGTTTGAAGGATTTTCAGTGCGGCCATTCGCTACCGAATGTGACACAAGGTCGTGGTTTAAAGAGGGTTTACTACTGGCAATAGCATTGAAAGATTGCTCAGGCCCCCTCATCACTTCCCCTTTTGGGGACACCTCAGCTTGTGTATCGATTGATCCCAGACCCCCCCCCACTTCCTGAAGAAGAGATACTGCCTGGAAGGCTTTTTTCCCCATTGGCCCAAAATTAGGGTGTAAAATTAGTAAACAAGATGCCTTTAATAAACTCGGGAAGGTGGTCGGAAAATTTCATAAAAAGAAAAAACATAAAAGTCCTCCACTTCTATTAGCAACCTAAGAATGCTGGTAAAATGAAATGAAACCAATAAATAAAATAATAAAAAAAAAAAAAAAAAAAAGAGAAATACATTTTCCCATGATGTTAGTAATAAAGGAACCGGTAATCTTATTACTCAACTTGGCTCCACCAAATGCCCATTAGGTGCCAATTTTTAAATTCTATAAAAAAAACAAGGATTTCCTTCCTTTCTCTTTCTACCTCTTACTCCAGGATGTAGCAACACGTGGAAAGCATTCGTTTCCCTGGTCCACTGACAACTGAACTCTCTTTTCCACTTTCCGACACATAGCATTCCTAAAACCTCCACCTATGAAGTCAGTCAACCTTTATTCTTGGTTGTTCCAACCAAGCACAAGGTTGACTTGAATCAACCATTATAACTATGCTTATCATGACTTGCCTGAGCTTACTTCTGGACTAGAAAAAGAAACTGTTTTACACTTTACAATACATAGCGTTCAGATGTGTTTTGCAGCTTCACTCAGGAAGTAAGTACTTTCGTCGTTCCAAATCAGTGCAAAGCTGACTTGAGCTCTATCATTTTGACCAGTACTATCCTTATTTACCCTAACTTACTTCTGAACCAGAAAAAGGAAAAAAAATGGACATACCCAAAAGACATTGAGGACTTTGTTTCCCTACAGTTACTATAAAAAAAGAATAAATGGTCTGTAGTAGAAACCCAAGTTTTCATTGCTTCTACATTAATTGTTTAAATGTGAACACACACAAACCTATAATACACCTTACCATTGACTGTAGTCAGGATCATCGAGTTAATTTGAATAATCCTTTCACAGTTTTGAATTCAGAGTTTTCCTTCTTTTAGAGTTGTTACCATCCAAGGTTATACAACCCAGTCTGTCCTGCTATTTTACCCATAGCTGGGAAAAGAGATGGAATCATGCCTTTCCCAAATTTGTTCTTGGTAAATACAAAAATACAATTCCAAATTAAGAAAATACGAAAGGTAGATGTTGAAAAGATTTCCAGAGAAATCAGGTGAAGAGCTGTGGTTGGGAACTTGAAATCTCGTAATGAGAAATGTTCACTTACCGTACGCAAAAATAAATTGGAGAAAAACATTTATACATTATGAAATGGACAAAGTCCGACAATTATTTTAAGACATTTTTATGTTTATACATTCTTTTTATAGATACGAATATTTAAGTAAATGCTCTGTTTATAATAAATTGTATTAAACAACATTTACCGGCCTGAATGTCCGTGAAATTTTCACAAAAAATATTCGTCCTCCAACAGGATTCGAACCTGTATCCTATACGGAACTGTCATTTAACTTGATGTGCCTTTAACTGATTTGTTGTTTAATACTGTTTATTATAAACAGAGCATTTACTTAAATATTTGTATCTATAAAAAGAATGTATAAACATAAAAATGTCTTATAATAATTATCGGACTTTGTCCATTTCATAATGTGTGATGTCATTTGTTTACATTTGATACGCCATGAGCAGATATGAATGTACATGAGAGATTCATAGAAGATTGAAGTTCAAATACAGTAAATTCAACCTTGCTAACTGAATGCTCCTCTGTGGCCAAATTGGTTAAATGCACGTCAAGCTAAATGACGATTCCGTATAGAATACAGGTTCGAATCCAGTTGGAGGACGAAATTTCTGTGAAAACATAGAAATATCTTAAAAACATTTATGTTGTGCCGCTGACAAGGAAACCATAATGATTGGTGTATTACACAAAATCAGTATTATATACAGTGTTTATTGGAATGATTGCTCAAAGCTGCTCTCTGTTATTCACCACGGGGAACCATGCCTGTTTCTGATGCTCAGCTCCACGAGAGCACCTCTTTGCGAGACAGATATGCAATGTGATTGGCCCTGTTCTGGCATCTTGTCTACAGTCGCTCTCTCACAGACATGTTGTCGCCTCCCTCTGTCTTTTCTACAAATACTTTCATAGTAAAGCTACTTTTGCTAGTTCCCAGACTGCATAAATTTAAATGTGCAACTAGGCTGGCATCTTGATCCCACCCTTTCACTGTCTAAACAGTTAAATGTAGTTGTCTCTTCTACTCTAACAACTTCATGTCTCGCACCTCCTGTCTGTAGAATTCACTTCCTATTATTTGTTTTTCTGATGGCTATAATCTCCAATTATTCAAACATAATGTCAATCAACATCTTCAGATGCCTTGATCTATTCTCTATCCTTCTCTTCATCCTTTCTTCCATCACACCGCTTTACTATCGCTCCCACTCTATGTAACCCCTTGCATGATAGTGGCATCCTGCCTTGTTTGGGGTGAAATGCTTAAAAAAAATAAATAAATAAAAAAATAACATATATAACACACAACATATTGTATGTAAAAATAAATATGCCAAAATTCATTCTTGGTAAATACGAAAATAGAATTCCAAGAAAGAAAATGCAAAAAGTAGATGTTGAAAAGAGTTCTGGAGAAAACGGTAAGCAATGCAATAGGTCATGATCTGGCATCCCATCTTCAGTCACTTTCTCACAGACGTGCTGTGGCTTCCGTTTGTCTTTTCTACAAGTATT